TGTGTGTGTGTGTGTGTGTGTGTGTGTGTGTGTGTGTGTGTGTGTGTTACCAGGCCATAGTATGGCTTTGGGTATATGTCTTTCCCTTTACACTTTATTTTTTCAGACAGGGTCTCTCACCGACCTGGAACTCACCATTTTGGCTAGACTGGCTAGCTGGCAAACCTCAAGGCTCTCTTGCTTTGCTACTGTGTTCTTGGTCTGTGATGGTTTTATTGTAGGCATGGTATGTGGGTACATGAGATCCCACCTCAGGTCCTAAGGCTTGTGCAGGAAGCATTTTACTCAATGAGCTATCCAGTAAGCTCCTGAAAATTTTTTAACCTATGAAAATATTAACATTTTAATATTCAGGATGTTTTCATGTCTGTTAGGTTATCTTTTAATTTTTGTTTAAATTTTCCCTTTTTGATAATCTCATATTTCTTTTAATCCTATTCATCCTCCCCTAACTCCTCTCAGATCCATCACATTCCTCACCCACCCAGCTTTTGTGTCCCCCACCCTTTTTAACCCATTAAATACAATTTGTATTTCCCACATATTCTTGGATATTTGGAGTTCCACTGGCATGTGGTCAACCTACGAGAGGCCAGCATCTTAAAAACTTTCTCTGCTAGTAGCTATCATCTTCCAATAGTTCCTCTGCTAGGAGTTGATTAAGTAACATCAAAAGAGCCAGAATTAGATGCCACTTGCAGGCTAATGTAAGATTATAAGTATAGATGGACTGGATTGATTCCCGAATTTTATATTTTGGACTGCTTAAAAATAAAAGAAACATTTTAAATTTTAATTTAATCCTTTTCCTTTTATTGTTCCAAAATCTCACAGCATAGTTATTGTTAACACTACTTTTAGTACATTATACAGTAATTTGTTGTGTAGGGCATTTGAAATCTTTTATTTGTTTGTATTATTATATTTATATTTAGCAATAGCAGGAAGAAACTATAAGCCAAATAGAACTAGAAAGATGATTGGTTGGGTCACTCTTGCTTTTTAAATTCTTCAAGAGTGTCTCAGGAATCCTGAATCTTAAGAGTAGGATATGAAACCTTCATTGAGTGAATAAGCCTGTTATGTGGTTCTCTGAGCGTTCCAACACTGTATCCTCGGCAATACTGGCACTTTTACAGCTTTTTGAACACACTTTAACTATAAACATTATTCTTGGAACATTCCTTCTACTTTCAAGTCTTGTCCTTGGAAGCCCAAACTCCCTTTAAAACCTACCTCAAACACTGCTTCCGTAAGGATGAATGCCTCCTCTGGAATTCTAGATGAAATTGGAATACTTACACAAACATTTATTTCACATATTCTTATTTTTCTGATTATCCATTTCTTGATATTTTAAGCTAGTAGGCTTTTCCAAGAAGAGTATTATAATTTTACTTTCTTTCTGTTTTTTTATTCCAAATTTTGAGCCCATTTTAAGTTACACACTAGCATATCACAAATAAGTATTTGTGTTATATGCATATTCATAACTACTGACAAAGATATAACATTTAAAATTATGTCTGCAATCACTACTCTAAGCAGCTGAAAAAAACCTTCTACTATTTGTTCATGTCTATATTGTTAGTGCCTAGTATGGTAGGAATATATGCTAAGATCTCAATAATGGAGCTAATCATTAATCAAATAATGTTTTACCAGAACAAACTTTGCACAGTAAGAGGAAAATGTATTACTAGAGTAATACATAAATACAAGTCTATTTATTGTACTCAGATTACAAAAAAAGGCAAGCCTAACTATACAAACAACAATTA